GGCAGCGACGAAAGTCGCGATTTTCGGCCGAAAACGACGTTTACCCGTCAAATCTTCGACCGAAATCCGGATTTTTCAACCCCTGGGCCCGATTTCTACCCGGATTTGTCGAATCCACGCCTTCTTAACCCCTCTCCCGTTCCAATTCTTCATCATCTCCCTCCATACTCAACCCTCTCTGCAAATCCGAGAAATTCCCTCTCAAACCTAAGAAATTAACGCCCGATTCGGTCTCTACATGTAACGACCCGAGGCCGCTACGGAATGATAGAGCTGTCCCCACATACCAATACGGGACCTTTTAGCGTGTTTTGTCCTCACTCGCACACATCCTGGAAAGTACTTCTCAGGAGGTCACCAATCCTAAGACTACTCCAAGGCCAGCACGCTTAACTTTGGAGTTCTCTCGAGATGAGCAACCGAAAAGGTAGATATATCTTGTTGTTATGAGTAGCTCAATTAATTCCTTTAAGTTATCTTAGACTGTGCAGTCCCATACCTACATAGTCCTCGGATCCCTCTCATTCCGGTGCGTCCGATTCATTCCTGTACCCCCTACCTAAAAGCTCGTCAGGAGCTGCCCCTTGTCCATGCCTCTCGTACCGGTGATCACTCCACGTTCTCCTACGGTATCTTGGGCTGTCACAGGCCCACCAGCTTCCGGCTGGTTCGTCCTCGAACCACACCTTACTAGGAGAGTACCGGCTCTGATACCATTTGTAACGATCCGAAGCCGCTACGGAATGATAGAGCTGTCCCCACACACCAACACGGGACCTTTTAGCGTGTTTTGTCCTCGCTCGCACACATCCCGGAAAGTACTTCCCAAGAGGTCACCCATCCTAAGATTACTCCAAGGCCAACACGCTTAACTTTGGAGTTCTCTCGAGATGGGCAACCGAAAAGGTAGATGCATCTTGTTGCTATGAGTAGCACAATTAATTCCTTTAAGTTATCTTAGACTGTGCAGTCTCATACCTACATAGCCCTCGGATCCCTCTCATTCCAGTGCGTCTGATCCATCCCTGTACCCCCTACCCAGAAGCTCGTCAGGAGCAGCCCCTTGTCCATGCCTCTCGCACCGGCGATCACTCCCCACCCTCCTATGGTATCCTGGGCTGTTACACTCCTTCGGCTTCCTTGTGTTAGTAGTAGCTATAGCGAGTAACTCTAACCAAATTTTTTGTATGTTTCTTCTGTTCAAAAGGAAAAACATCGTACGGAAAAAAAAAGATTTTGGAGAGTGGAGAATGAGATTGTCACCTCTCTTTTCATTTCTTTTCCCGGAAAGGAAGATATCCACTTCTCGCATT